GGATAAGTGCAAGGTCTTGCACTTATCCACACTGAACGCCATCCTGTTGTCTCCTGCCCACTTCCATAGTCTGTCCAGATCCTTTTGGATCTGGAGTACCTGCTCCTCAGTTGTGGCCACTGCTCCAGTTTTAGTATCATCTGTGAATTTGATCAGCAGACTGTTCACCCCTTCTTCCATGTCATTGATGAAAAGATTAAACAAGATTAGTCCCAGGACAGAGCCCTGGGGGACCCCGCTTGTCACTGGCCGCCATCCCGATGATTCCCCACTAAAGGTTACCCTCTGCTTTCGGTCAGTCAACCATGCCCTAATCCACCGGACAGTGCTTTGGTGTATCCCAAAACTCCTCAGTTTCTCCACCAGGATATCATGGGGCACTTGCTTGCTGAAATCCAGGGAAACCACATCCACTGCATCCCCTCCATCTAGCCATTGCGAAACCTTGTCATAGAATTCCACAAGGTTTGTCTGGCAGGACCTGTTTTTGTGGAAGCCGTGTTGTGTGACTGTCAGCCTCCCTTCCCTATCTAGCATCACTAGATCTCTCTCTATTATGAGCCTTTCCATTGTTTTTCCTACAATGGACGTAAGGCTAACTCTATACAATACTGGTGCACCCGTAACTAGAGAATTGTGCTTAGTTTTGGGCCCCTCATTACAGGAAGGATATAGCCAGGTTGGAGTCAGTGCAGCGCAGGGCCACAAGGTTGGTGGCCGGTTTGCAGGGGAGGCCGTATGAGGCGAGACTGAGGGAACTGGGTCTCTTCAGCCTGGAGAAGAGGAGACTCAGAGGGGATCTGTTGGCGACATACAGGTGTGTGAGGGGATGTCACATGGAGGTGGGCAGAGACCTGTTCTCCCCTGCAGAGGAAGGCAGGATGCGCTCCAACGGAGCAAAGCTCAGGGAACCCAGGTTCCATTTGGATGCCAGGAAGCACTTCCTGACAGTCAGGACCCCGAGGGTGTGGAATGGGCTCCCATGAGAGGTGGTTGAGGCCCCATCGGTGAGGGTGATCAAGGACAGGCTGGACGTGCACATGGTGGGCATGTCGTGAGCAGAGCCAGCTGGAGCCGGAGGTCAGACTAGACAGCCCAGGAGGCCCCTTCTGACTCGCTCTGCTTCTCTGTTTCCTCCCTGCCTGGTCCTTGTGCAGCATCCCAGGACACTGCTCGAGTGTGGAACACTGAGGGGAGCAGGGGCGCTGTGGCCGACAGCATAGCCTGGACTGCTGGGCAAGAAGGGAAGGGCTGCCACATAGCTCCTCTCTGGGCAGGAAAAGGCGCATGTGGCAGGTGGTGGGAGGGGACAAACCACATGGCACTGGCTTTGGGAGCCCATGCCAGTGGCTCACTCCCTCTGCTCAGCTGAGGAGGGCAAGCAGAATGACTCATCCCCACCTGTACTGCCACTGGATCCAACCACTAGGCATTTCTTCCTCACAACACAGCAAGACTAAGCGCCTGCTTCTCCCGCTGTGCATTGCTTGCCCAGGCCCTGCATGGGACTCGGAGAGGCTGTGTGTGGCAGCACCCAGTGGCTTCCCCTGGGCTCCTGGCGATGCCAGGAGGGCAGAACTGCTCACAAGCCGACCCTTCTTGTGAGCAGGTCTCTCTCCACCAGCCTCTCCTTTTTCCTTCCCAGCAGATCAAGAGGAGAGATTCTAGGCAAGGTCTTTTCTTATGCCAAAGCAGGCCAGCAAGAAGTGTGCTGAATCTGAATCCTGCACCAAACAGAGCAGGCACCACCCTCAGGGACGTTTCGTACAGCTCATGGGCCGGATCGCAAGCATGCTGGATAGCACTTAGCAGCCTGCTCGTTTGCTCTGGCTGCCTAAGTTGCAGCCCTCCCTCTCTGACCCCCTTTGGTATGCAGTGTCTCCCCCACCCCCATGAAGCGGAGGCGGCCTGGTTCTCCAGAGCCGCCAGACTCACCTCAAGGTCTGCTGGCCTTGAAGTTCAGCAAAGCCTCCTGCCCCACCTCTTCCGGTTCAGGTTCAGCGCCTGAGGTGTCCACCTGGGAGTGCTGCAGCAAGCCAGGCCTCCTTGCCTGCTCCCCTCCAGCCTTTGCAGGCGCCGGGGGGAAGCCGACATGGCCACACCTGGCTGCTGGCCTCAGCTAAACCCTTCTTTGCTGCGCTGGTCAAGGGACTCTCGCAATAAATATTCGGCGTGGCCGTGGGCCAGAGCTGTTGCAGGTTCCTGAACCCCTGCAACAGCCGTGGGTAGGTACCTGGGGCGGGTTGCACACCCACTGCTGTTCCTGTGGTTGTATGAGCCCTTTCACTCTGAGATGCAGGTTTACGAGCACAGCACGCCTTCTCATTTTAATCCAGGGAGTGGGGAAGGCGAGCAGAGCAAATTGGCCGTCAAACCGGGGCAACGCTGCCCCAAACACAGCAGCAGCGATCCCTGTGGGGTCACAGGGACGGGGAGGCAACTGTCAGAGGACATGCCAGTTTCCCTTATTCCTAACACAAGAGGAGCCCCCCCCCCAGCCCCATCCTGCATCAGCAAAAACGAGGGAACGTGCGATGCACGGCAACCAGCGGGTGCGAGAGGATTCCACGCTATTGTCGGCCTTGTCCTCTCCCAGACAATGTGGCCCAGGGAGCGGCTCTATAAAGCCCCATCCTCTCAGCCCTCTGCTCTTGATTTGCCTCCATGGGAGATAAAAAACAGCTCGCGGAGAGACAACAGTTTGAAAGCCCAGTGCTTCTGGGCTGGTGAGCAGGATTTCTTTCTCAGATCATGGTTGATCCAAGGTGTGCGCACTGAAGGTAAGCTACGAGGGCTGCTCCGAAGAAGCGGGGCTCGGGGCACCGGAGCTTCGGCCCTGCTTTTGTTACCGCGCGAGCGGAGGAAAGGGGCGGTTTTCGCCATGTGCCGAAGGCAGTTCTGGCTGTGAGAGCGAGGAGCGAGCCAGCTGCCCAGAGCTAACGGTTCTCCGGCCGGGTGCCTGGACTGGGCTTCCCAAGGGGGGCTCTGTCAGAAATGCGGGGGTCCCGCTCCCTCCCAGCCCCTCCACCCCCTCTGCTTTGAAGAGGGTGCCACAACAGCCGCTGCATGGACAGCGGCGCATGGGACAGCTGGAGAAAGCGTCGCCCGTTTGAACGGCGCGTCCTCCCAGAGCGTGGAGCACGTGCAGATGGAAGCGTGGCTCTTTCCAGACCGGGGAGCTGTCCGTGCGGGCTTCGGGGGTGAGGGGCTTTTAAGGTACCACCACCCTGCCACATCCACCAAGCTTCACAGCATGTCCAGATGAAGCGGTCTTCCTCCCACGGGTCCCCACCACTTCTCCCATTGGTTTTCTTACTGGAGAACGTCCCGGCAAGGGAGCAATGCCACAAGCGAGCAGCGAGTGGCCCGCGTCGTGTGACGGGCAGGCTGGGGGCCGTCGGTCCGCAGGCAGCCCTTTCACGCCTGGTCGCTCCTCCAGAAGAACCCACTGGCGAGTTCGGTTTGGCATCCCCCCCACATGGCTTTTGCCGCTGCAGGTCGGCTGCCCGGCACCTGCCTCCGCACAGGCGTGCCCAGAGGGTGAGTAGTGTCTGGTTCGTGCAGGGCTTGTGTGGGTCTTCCGCCCGTGCTGTGCTTTTGTAGTGGAACTATTACCGGGACTGGGGAAGAGGCCCCCTGCCACGTGGGGCCGCCGTGGCTCTTCGGGGATGCTGCGGACACCTGCTGCCCCGCCCCTCCTCCACGCAGCGCTGCCGGGAGTTTCTTGGGTTCTTTCCTATTGGGGCGAAGAAAAATCAAGGCAGCTCCCGCAGGGTCCAACCCTGTGTTCACTCCGATTTCAAGCACGGGAGATGGGAGATGCAATTATGGTCCTGGTTTCCCGAAAAACCCGTTTTGCTAAGAATAGTGGAGAGTTTCTCATCCTTATCCTTGTGTGCAACGCCCGGTCAGCTCTCCTGGGAATTCACAGAGTCGGCAGACCTTCTTCTGGGGACTTCCTGGCTTTGGCTATATTTCTGAGGGTTCTTTTTAAATTACACAAATTCCTCAACGGAAAGGCTGACGTGAGGGGTCGCCCTGCTCAGAGATCAGGCGGGGGTGCTGTGCTTCGGAGCGCAGCCCACCCTGGCCTGGACTTGGGTCCTTGGGAAACTAACTTTTCTCTGGGGCTCACCCGTTTGCTGTCAGGAAATGGAGTTTTGGGTGACCGGTGGGCCTTGGGGCAGCCAGTTTTCGGACTGCCTGTGACGTTGCACCCAAATTTCCAGTGTGACCCAATAAGGGTAGTGACCCCTGCGCTGGACTCTCTGACCCCAAATCTGAAACTGGATGTAGGTAGGTAGGGAAAGCGGAAAGGGTGGAAATGTGTTCGGTTTCTTTCCTTGGCACACCTTTGGGGATTCAGTCGTGTTGCTCCGGCAGTGTTCAGTCCTGGCGGTAACCCTGCTGCCCCTCTCTCCACGCCTCTGCCTCCCACCCCCAGGCCTATCCTCCCCCTCTGGTCCTTCTGCAGGAGGAGGGACCGCCACCCGAGCCCCAGGCCAGCGAGGTGTCCGGGATGCTCAGCCTGATGGGAGGGGGCCTGCTGTGCGCTGTCTCCGGCCTCGTGCTCATCGTCGTCTCCACCGCGACGGACTTCTGGATGCAGTACCGCCACTCGGGGGCCCTGAGCAGCCAGGGGCTCTGGCGCTTCTGCGTGGGAAGCAAATGCCACCCGCACACCATCACCCTCGGTAAGCGGTGGGGACCGGCCCTGCGTCCTCCGCCGGGCGAGAGCATCTTCACTGCATTGCTGGCTCCTCACAAGCCCCCGAGCCAGACGCCCTCAGCGCATCTCAGCATATATAAAGCATGGGGCTGTTAATGAAATGGACCTGCCTGGTCAGCTCGGGTTCCTTGCAAGAGGAAGAAAGGCAGGATAGAAGTGCAATGCAGTAGGAGTGAGTGGTGGCGAGGAAAAGCCGATAACCTGCACTCTCAAACTGAAGGAGAAACACAGAGCTTCTTTCTTAAAGGGTCAGGGAAGGACCCCCGCCCCTGGCAGAGGAGAGGGAAAGGGCCTTGTGCAGGGAGGCGAGTGCAGCTCTCTGGGCGCCGGGCCCGGCATGGGCCTGGGCCAGCTGCAGCCCAGCAACGTTCGCTTTCGAGCAGGCAGGCGGCTCTGGGGTGCTGGCGAGATGGGCGGCTGGCCCCGCGTGCCTTCTGCTCTCTGCCCAGCCTGTCCAGCGGCACGCAGGGATCCGGCTGCCTCAGCCGAGAGCTCACACTCTGACACAGGTTCATGTGCGCAAGCCAAGTTTTTAGAAGGCACCCAACAACTCCCCAAAAGAGAGGAATGGGGAGGGAACTGGGGGAGTGTGTCACAAGGGGCCTGGTTTCCCACTCTGGAACCAGACCCCAAGGCTTCAGAAGCAATCGCCTTCCCTCTTAAAGGGACGTGTTTGCTCTTTGAGGTTTTACAAAGTGGAATGAGGCCACGGGCGAAATGACAAGCCATCTAAGAAATGCCATAACTCAGGGAAAAGGGTTCTGAGCAAAGGTTGCTTCCATCTTTCATCTGCTTCATCTTCTTTGGGACTTTCGGCACCTGAGGGGGGAGCTGCCCATTCTCCTGGCTCCCAGCCCCTACGAGGCAGGGGGCGTGGCCTGACAGCTGGGGGTGGTGCCTGGCAGAGCAGAGGTGGAGCCTCTGGCATGGTGGGTGGAGCCTCATAGGGGCTGAGGAGGCACCTGGTGCATGAGGGAGGGAGCTTGACTAGGCTGCTGCAGGAGGGCCCAGGGGGCAGGAACCGCAGCGCTTTAGCCCACCCCGTTATTCTCACCCCCAGGCTCCACATGTAACCTTTAACTTCTGTTAATTGAACAGAAAATAGTTCTTGTTTCCAAAATAGCACTGAATGAATTCCACTCCTCCTATAAAACGGGCCACATTTTCTAGCTGCCTTTCATGGTTTGCTCTGCAGCCACTCGCTTGTAAGCCAGGATCATTTTCGAGCAAGCGAGTGACGGGGACTGTCCCCCACCCCAACCCACGGTGGGTCGTGTCACGCGGACTCGGGCCATTTCCCACAGGGTGGCTTTCTTCCAGGACCAGCCCCATAGTCTCGCCATGGTGGCCTGGTCCGCCGACCAGACGCTGGCAGCCGACCCACTGTGGGCAGGGGAGGTGGCGGGCGAGCCTCTTGGCAGGGGCTGGCTCCCCTTCGCCCGGCCCGCCACGCCGGGGCCAGCCACCCCCGATGCCCAAGCCGGAGCCGCGCCACTGGCTCCGTCCCCCAGCGGCCCTTCGCCCACAACACGGCCCTCTGCGCGCTCCGGCTCTCGCTCGCTTCCTCCAGCGATTGCTTCTCACAGGCCCCAGTTGGCAGGTAATGGCAGCCCCTTCAAAGCGCCCAGGTCAGTCACTGCTTTTAAAGAAGACACATCTAAATGTGGGCATATGTTCGTGTGTGCAATTATTATAACTTTCCAGTGGCACGTGCTCTCTTCCAGGTCTGAAACGGAACGCCGCACCTGGGCGGTGTCTTGTGGGGAGGGGGTCCTGCTGAAGCGCTGCTGGCACCCTTCAGAGGCACGGGCTGAGAACGTTATTTCGGACCTGGGCTTCTCGTAACAAAGAGAATCAAAAGTGGCCAATAATCTTTGCTCACAGAAATGCGGGTGGGGGGAGACGAGATCACCCCCTCTGCAATGAGCGCGTCTGTAGGGGGTTGATGGGGAGGGACGACGCTTTGATGCTTTTCTTGGTTTGCACGCTTTCCCAAGACGCTTGGCGCTCAAAAATGGGAAAGCACAAGCCACGGCCTTCAGTGGGGCCAGCTGTCAACATTCCAGGTTCTTTCCAAAGGTTATTTGGACTGGACCACGGGTCCTTCAACTACGGCCCACGGGCCGGATCCGGCCCACCATGCCCATCGGCCTCAGAGCCGTTGGCCTCCGGCATGTGCAAGGCAGCAGCTTGCTCGTGCAGAAACTGCTCTGGACGTGCTCTGAGAAAAGGGTCTCCGCGCGAGCAAGCCGCTGCCCCGGCACGTGCACCCGCCACTGCCTTGCCTTGCCGCGTGCGCGCCCTGCGCATGCGGCCACAGCCTCCCCCCCCCCCCGGCACCGCCTTGCCAGCCCACGCCCCCCCGCTGGCACCTTTCAACTGGCCCCATTGCAGAAGCGTGAGGACCCCTGGGCTGGACCCTCCGCGGTGCCTGTGAGGGAGACGTTGCATTTGTGCTTGTGCGGGCGCAAGGCAGCTCCGGCCAGAGGGCAGAGAGCAGGTTTGGAAAACGCTAATGGTAACAGCTCACTTCAAAACGAGCAGAGTCTGCTACCTTCTGCAGTGAGAGGTTAGCCTTGACACGCAGGTGGGGGCAGAACTCACGCCGAAGCCCCCAGGCCAAGCAGACCACGGGCTACTTCTGGCCCTTCGCTCCCGATGGTCTTCCTGCCTTGGATCTTATGAGGAGGAGGAAGCGCAAGCCCTGAGGCTGAGCCCAAAGCCGAGAGCGTGTGTCCAGCCTGGGACCCCCTCGGACCCAGCGCGGGTGGCCAGGGCCCCCTGCTGACAGCTTCGTATTCCCACGCAGCCTTCTGGGATGCCACCCGGGCCTTCATGCTCCTCTCCATCCTCTCCTCCTTGGCTGGCATCGCCCTGGGACTCACTGCCTATGCCGGAAGCAGCACCCGCGCCGCCCGGGTTCGCTCTGCGGGGATCACGCTCTTGATTGCAGGTACAAGCAGTGGGGCAGGGCAGCCAGTGAGGTCCCGGTTCCTCTCAGGTTCTCACTTCCCCAGCCTTCAGCTTTGCGAATGTCTCCAGTCTTCGTCCAAAAGATTGGGATTTTAAAAGATAACATTTGCATGAAATTTCCACAGAAAAATGAGCACTTTCCCCCTAAAATGTGCAATTTCACTTTATGTGCACTTTTGCAAATCATTTTCCTAATATAATACATTTTCTGCAATATGCATCTTGTGTGCATTTCGGGTGCAAAATCCAAATATGTATTTCCAAGGGCGGATGAGCTGCAGCTTGCAGGGCAGTTTGAAAGAAGAAAATTCAGTACTTTGAACCCCTGGCAGCAGGTTGGCTCAGAAGGAGCACTCTAAGCTGCAGTTGCCCAGCTGTGAAGATCACAAAGTCCGACTCACACGGGCTGCCTCACTCGCCGCATTTGTCATTTCCTTTGTCTTTGCCCTGCGCTAGTAGCCGATACCTTAACCAGGGCTGCAGTCTTCAAATGCAGTGACTACAGAGAAGACCCACTCAACAGAGTGGGACTAACTTTTGAGTAAACAAGCACAGCATTGCTCTTTCCATGTGCCATGGCAAAAATAGGCACCGACATATCAGCACCAGGAGCTGCGAAATACGAGGCATCTTAAGGCAGACCTGCTGCACGTCTAGCTAAAACTGGCCGGTGCTCCGGACCCGGAGCCGTCCCGCCTTCCCGCTGGTGGCTCACTGCCGTCCGCTGAGCCCGCTTTAATGCTCCTCGTGCTCAAGGCAGCTCCGCAACCCGGGCCAGCGTGCCGTGTGGGCTCGCAGTGTGGCGCAGACACGTGTCTCGGCCGCAGGGGCGTCCCTTGGCAATCCAGGGGACAACCCCGGACGCGAGTCTGGTGCCCAGGCAAGCCGCGTAAACCCTGCGAGCGTCAAGGGGGTGTGATGTGGCACTGGGTGGGGGCGCCTCTCAGTGGGCAGCGGCTGCAGCCCCTGGGGGTGAACCAGGGACGGCTCTCCAAGCGGTGCCCTGCCAGGGCCTCTTCCTCCGGGATGCCTGGGCCCCTCAAGGACCCCACTCTCCACTCAGTGGGGCTGGCGTGTAAGTAAAGAGCCCGGGACGGTCTCCACTAACCTTCCCCATCTGCCCCAGGCCTCTTTGCCCTGCTGGGCGTCGCCGTGTACACAGGAGTGGCGGTGAACTTCTACGGAAAGCGGTACCCCGAGTGGCGCTTCTCCTGGTCCTACATCCTGGGCTGGATTGCAGTCGTCCTCACCGTCTCAGCAGGTACCCTCAGTCCCAGTCTGGGCGAGTGAGGCCCTCCTTCTGCAGCCGGCCTTCCGCTTCCCAGGGGAGGGCTCCCAGGCGCACCCCCCGGGCCCCCCCGTCCTACCCCTCTCTCAATCCTGCACCTTGCGCCCTTTCCGCCCACAGCACAGGGGCCACCGAAGCTCCGCACGTGGCCCAACCCCCCCTGCCCCCCCCCCCCGCCCCACCCCCCTTACGAGCGCTTTCCTTCTCTCCGCAGGCGTCTTCCACATCTGCGCCCTGCCCAGGAATTCTGCCCCGGATGGATCCGATGTGGCGAACGGCTGACCGGCTCCACGCACGCCAGGCGCCTCGGCCTCCCCCTCTCGACCCGGGCCGCCCGGTCCCCTCCCGCCCCCCGGCTCCTCGGAGGGTCCGCAAGCTGGCGCAGAGAGGGGCCTCGGCCTCCTGCCGTGCCCGCTGCCCCCCTCCCAAGCCAGCCGCCCTCCCAGCGGCAGGCGTAGCAGCGCCTCCTGCGCCCTGTGCGCTGCGCCCGGGAGCAGGTAGCCGAGGGCGCCCCACCCCAGGCCGGTCTCTGCCCTCTGCTCGCGCAGCAGCGCAGCGCCCCCGGGACCCTCGGCGCCTCCGGGCCAGTGGCGGGGCCGAGAGCCCGCTGCCCCCGGAACGCGTGGCAGGGCTGCCCTTTGCGGAGGCCCCGCCAGCTTTGGCTCCTGGGGCTTCAGGGCACCACGAGCAAGTGGCACCCCCCCACTTCTGCAGCAACCGGCTCCCCCCCCCCCCCGCAATGTATCCACGATGTTCCCTGCTCTCTTTTGGCAGCCCAGCCTCACCCCGCCCCACTGCCACCAACGAATTCAGAGGCGGCGTTGGAGGGCAGCCCCCCAGCACGGCAATCCGTGGAATGCCCTGGGCCATCCACGGGCACCTGCTGAAACAGCCCCCCCCCCCAGGGTCTGTCCTGTCTCCAATCCCCCTGGAAACCACGGCTTGCGGCCACGTGGGCTTCCCTGCCTCTGCCCTTTGCCTCTTTCTGCCCGAGTCTTTCTTCCCAAGATGAAACGTCTGCTCCACTGCCCGGGCGTCTCTCTTCACAAACCAGAGTTTAATTGATTCTTTTATGTGCATATACACACAGAAAACGTAGAGCATGTGTAAATTAGCACCTGCAGGTGTGTGCTTTTTTCTTTGGCTTCTTTCTCTTTTGCTTTGTCCGGTGAGGCCTGGGGTCTTTCAGTGCCTTGGTCTGTCCAGGTAAAATGTCCCCTGATCCGGGTTGTTTTTGTCTCTGTGGGAGGACGGCAGCTCCCAGCGCGAAACCTCGTCACAGAACGCTTCCGACTGGGACTCCCCTCGTGGTCCAGGATGACCCCTTTATCCCAAGCAGCGCTCACTGAATTCAGGGGCCGCCGCTCACCAGTCCCAGAAGTGAGCATGGAGCGCATGCTACACTCGGCATCCCTGCAAACTCGGACTGGACTTTGTTCTGGCTCCACAGGGGCCGTCCGTGAAAACGGCAGGAAATGGAGCCCTTGCGCCCCCAGTCTGCCCCACGTGTGGTGCCCCGAAAGTAATGCCCTCTCGCAGCCAGAAAGAGCATCGGGCCAACCCAGGTGGGCTGGGCCAAGCGAGCATCACCACCCGGCCTCCTTGACTGGCCCGACAGACACTGCTGGGAACCCCTCCGGGGAGACTTGGGGCGCACCCCTTTCCGGCGGCTCCCCCCTCCAGGGAGGTTCGGCAGCTTCCGCGGCACAGCCTGGCGAGGCCGGGCCCGGCCGCCCTGCCTGCCCCCAGGGCGGCAGACGCAGATGCGCACTCCGGGGTCCCCTGTCGCACGCCGCTGCCGCCATTTCCACGGACTTTGGGTGGCATACTGCATGCTCGCGGCAGGTTTTACTTCTCTTGCTCATCGGAGCCGATTAATGCCGCCGCCGCCGCCGCCACTGCAGCCGCTCTGGTGTCGGGGACGCCAAAGCAGTTGACGGCGCGGCGTCACCGCTGGAGCCGCACACGGGCCGCCGCGAGCACGTGGAGCGGTGATGGGATGACGCCGGGCAGGACATGCCAGTGGGGCAGGGCCAAGCACCCCCGGCCTCGCACCACACCCCGTGGCCCCCTCCCGAGGGATAGCGGGGCATCCTGCACTGCAGGAAGGGCGTTAAAAGGGGTGCAACGTCGTGAGACACCCTGCAACCTCCCAAAGGGGAAGGATCGAGGGAAGGCTGGTTAGCCAGCCTGGTCCACCTCTGCATACTGAACAAAAAGAAACATACTGTTAAACAAGGGGTTAACGGCAGGAGCCTGGACGCCCCAAGCATCCAGGTTGCACCCACACGTCCAGCCTCACCTGCAAATGAGCTTGGCGCTTGGCACCTGGGGGCCCAATTCCGCAATAGCCACATTCAAAAGAGAAACGGCGGCTTTGCTGGCCTTGGGCTCTGGCTGTGGGGTTCTGGTTTCACTTCCCATCCCAGGGGGAACCATTCAAGGGGCTTCCAGACCAGAGCCGATACTGCGGAAACCCTGAAGTCGCTGCGCTGTGTGCGTCTTTCCAGTCTTCTCTGCTCAACTTACCAGATCTTGACTAGGTAACATTGAGAACCTGCAGTTTTACTTCTGTTTTTAAGAGCACTTTCTCAGACTGGTTTTTTAGAGTGGGGGAAATTGGGTATTATTTGGCGAAAGAACAAATTACTTCCTACTTTTGTCTTTGTGTTGCCAAAGTACAGCAACATCTACTGGTATGTAGCAGAGCAAGAGCTGGGTTCTGGAAGGACCCCAAGGACAAGTAAAATTAGTAATGTCCTAGTGCTGAGCAGCTCTTCCTTCTTGACAGCATTTTTCCCAGTAAGAAAATTTACACAAAAGGAGGTGGGAAAACTGGTGAGGTTACAACTGGAAGATCCTCCATACAGTTTAGAAAACAAAATGGCAGGAGCGTGATCCGTGCCTCGTTCGGGAACACCCCTATCCTGAAGTGGCCATCTCTGACTCCTGGCCCCTGCAGCACAGTTATCTGAGAGCGCACCTTTTACAAATGCATTCAGCCTGATGAGAAGGACCGTATTGCGTAAGGGGTCTTTCTTTCTTTCTTTCTTTCTTTCTTTCTTTCTTTCTTTCTTTCTTTCTTTCTTTCTTTCTTTCTCAGTGCTGCTCAGGATGTTGAACATTTCCATTGGAAAACTGAACACTTGCCCCCCTCCCTAAATTTCCCCGGCCTCCACATCCTTAGTTCCACTGCCTCCCTCCGGCATCCCTGGGCCTGGTGCTGAGGCGGCAAGAGGCCTGCTCTTTCTGGGGTGATGCAGAAACGCGCCTGCTTGGTCATCCGACAAGGAGAGCAGCAACGGGAACGGTGCTCTGGTTGGGCAAGCCATGTGCACTGGCGTCAGTGCCGAAGAAGTCCCAAAGCGGCCAGCGAGCGCAGCTGCCGCGACGCATTTCTGGCTGACGGCACGGAGGGCCCACACGGCCGGCCGGGTTCCTGCACGACCGCGTGTGCGTCGCGAGGCTCGGTCCCAGGGGGCGCTCTCTGCCGCGGGACAAGGGCTGAGCCGGAAAGCGGAAACCGACTTTCTCCATCCTTCTGAACTCCCCACTCCGTGCTCAACATATTGTGGGTTTTGTGCTTTTGCAGCAAGTTCTAGCAAAGCTGTCATTTCCATTTGTGTGGCAGGGGCTCAGAGGCACCAGAGACGGGGGCACCCCGTAATTGTTTGCGCTCTTGGGGAGCCGAGCACCTGCCAAACAGTCTGTTTTCTGGCAGTGGCCCCAAGGTGGGTCACGGGGCTCTGAGAGGGCTCAGACTGGGGGAGGAGGATGCCCCCGACCAACCCAGATGGGCTCAAGCGGTTTTGGCTGTGGGTGTGGCCACCCCGGCAAGGGGCCCACCGTACCATTTCAGATCCGCCGCAGCACAGGCCCAGCTCTGTGTGAGGGATTTCCTGCCCAGTTTTCTCACTGCTTCGGGAATAAAGTGCACGGAACCCTCTGTGGGACGTGCAAAGCTGCTTGTGCCCCTTGAGGGCTTCACCAGTGAAATGGGACCCCGTGCTCGTTGTTGTGATGTGCTGTCAAGTCATCTTCGACCTGTGAATGAAAACTGTCCCAAGCGTCCCAGCCATTCAGCCCTTCCAAGTTCAAGGCTGTGGCTTCCTTGGTGGAGTCCGTCCATCCCTTATTTCGTCTTCCCTTTCATCCCAAAAAGCCTTTGGTTTTTACTAACAAAAAAATCAGAGTGGGAGGTGGTGGAGCCCCACCAGCGAGGGTGTCAAGGACAGGCTGGACATGCGCATGGCGGGCCTGTCGTGAGCGGAGCCAGCTGGAGCTGGGGGTCAGACTAGATGGCCTGGGAGACCCCTTCTGACTTGCTCTGCTTCTCTGTTTCTATGTCTGACTTCCCCAGCTATGAGGGTCTTCTCCAGGGAGTTTTGCCTCCTCACGACGTGTCCAAAGTAGGACAGCATCAGTTTTGTCATTTTTCGGTCTAAGGAAAGCTCTGGCCGACTGGCGCTGGAGGCGGAGGGGCCCTGGGAGCTGCCAGCGATCCAGAACGCGAGGCCCACTGCAGGCCTCCACGGGTTTCCCGGAGGTGCTGGGTCGAGCAGAGGGAGTTTCCACGCAGTGAGACAGATCACAGACCAGCGTCTGGGAAGGGCAGCTTCCGGTCCTCGGGTGCCCGGATCCACGCGAGCGCAAGGCTCTGGGGTTGCGAGCCGCGAGCTGGCCGGCCCTGTGGCCAGAACAGGGTGGGGGAGGCGCTCTGCACCAGGGGAAGGAGGGCTCTCCACTAACAGCTGTGCAGGAGCCTGTGGAGCCACGAAGGCTGCTGGGAGCGCTGGACTGGCCGGAGCAGCTCCCTGCGCCTTGGCAGAGGGCGTGGGGGCAGAGCGTCTTCCCCTTCTCCCGTGCCGTGAGCCAGCAGGCGGGAGGGTCAGGACAGGGCACAGGAGGCCTCCCCCGAGATGGAAGGCAGGCCTGCGCTTGGCAAGGCTTTGACAGTTCCTGGAGGAGAAGCCTCGCCAGCGCCACTGGTCTTCATGGCCAGGTGCCCCACCCAGGCTGAGGCAGTGCCAGGGAGCATGGCGGGGCGAGGGCGATGGGCTACGTTCGAGGGCCACCCCGTCGGCCGATGCGGGGACTGAGCGCTGGCTCAGGCAGGCTTTCGTCTGCGCCCTCCTGTCATTCACAGGCTCTGGCTGCGCCCGCCCCCCGCCCCCCGCCCCAGGCCCCTTCCCCCTTGCCAGCACCGCCTCCTCCCCACCCTCTGCAAGCCTGCGAGCAGCACTGGGGCAGAGGAAACGAGGCGGCAAACGCTTTGCCTCGCG